CTAATTTATCCCTCCCTCTGCTCCTTTCCCCTTTGGTAACTATAGCTTTTTCCTCCCTATGTCTGTGAGTCTATTCCTGGTTTGTAGATAAATTCATTTATATCATTTTTTTAAGATTCTGCATATAAGTAATATCATCTGATATTTGTCTTTCTCTGTCTGACTTACTTCACTTAATATGGTAATCTCTAAGACCATCCATGTTGCTGCAAATGGCATTATTTCATTCTTTTTATGGCTGAGTAGTATTCCATTGTATATCTATATCTATACACACACACATACCACATCTTATTTATCTACTCACCTGTCAATGGACATTTAGGTTGCTTCTATGTCTTGGCTATTGTAAATAGTGCTGCTATGAACATTGAGGTGCATGAATCTTTTTGAGTTTGAGTTTCCTCCAGATACATGCCCAGGAGTGGGATTGCTGGATCCTATGGTAAGTCTATTTTTAGTTTTTTAAGGAATTTCCATACTGTCCTCCATAGTGGTTGCATGAATTTACATTCCCACCAACAGTGTAACAGGGTTTGTTTTCTCCACACCCTCTCCAGCATTTATTATTCATAGACTTTTGAATGAGGCCATTCTGACTGGTGTGATGACCTCCTCAATATTATCTACAAGCCACTGTGCTCGTCAGCCCAACAGTCAATGTCTAAGCCTCTGGGTTTGAGTTCTTGCATGGGTCTCTATCCATTTCAAGCACGTATCAAGGCCAGGCAGGTCATCTAATTGAGTAAGAAGGCTAAACAATTTTTAATGTATTGCAATTAGGTTACTTGCATTAAAATGTAAATCTTATTAAAATTCCAGTTTCCATATTCCGTTTTTTTATTGGTTTAAGGGTTTTTTTTTTTTTGGTCATGCAGCATTTCTATCTGTTTCTAGTTTATCCATGATTTGTCTATTTTGTTTGTCTTAAATAATCATTTTTTGGCATTGATACTCCCTATATGCACAGAAACTGCATATGAGTAATAGTGAATAATGACGCAGATAATAATAGCTCAGTTTATTGAAACTCAGTCAGTGCCACACATTGTTCTAAGTGCTTTCTGTGTATTAACTCGTTTTGTCCTCACCTCATCCCTGGGAGGCTGGTACCACTGTCCTCCTTTTACAGACGAGGGTGTGGAGACACTGTGAGGGGTCAGCTTGTGCAAGATTACAGAGCAAATGAGGTGTAAATGTGAATCCAGACACTATTTCAAGGATCTCTGCTCCTCAGCTATTGCTCTTTGCTCTGCAAATATACCCTCCTTTATGGGATGAATCGTGTCCCCCCCAAATATTATGTTGAAGGTCTAATTCCTGGTACCTGTGGATGTAACTGTATTTGGAAATAGGGTCTTTGTAGACATAACTAGGTTACAATGAGGTTGTACTGGACGAGGGTAGGCCCCAATACAACACGACTGCTGCCCTTAGAAGACAAGGAAAATCTGGACTCCGGGAAGACGGCCACAGAGGACGGACGGTGGAGTTATGTTGCCACAAAGGACAGTGTGGGGTGACCAGAAGCCCGAAGAGGTGACATAGGTCGTCCCCTAGAGGCCCCAGAGGGAGCCCAGCCCTGCCAACACCTTGATTTCAAATTTCTAGCCTTCAGAGCAGTGAGAAAACAAATGTCGTTTAAAGCTCCCCAGTTTATGGTACAATGTGATGACAGCCCCAGGCAAACAACGCACTGTCTTTCACTCATACCAAAACATGCTGTCCTATCAACCTGTTATTTCCAATTCTAACACAAATGGCAGTATAAGTAACATTTAACTTTCCTCTGAGTTCTATTTAAAGAAACTCAGCAGCTAGGGGTGGGGCTGTGAGAACTGAGCAGCACAGGCTCCCATCTCATAGCAGCAGCCTCTCTTCAGTCTGCTGGTGACTCCTGATGACAGCCGCTGGACAGACAGGACCGAAGTGCCCAGATCGTACAGTTTCCAAGAGAACTCAAATCTGTACGTTAAGTTAGTTAATAACAAATTGAAACAGCAACCAATTAAAAATTACACTAGTTAATAACTAATTCACGTTGAAAACAAACATCAGGTCAAACGTGGCCCACATCTATGGACCAAACTGGGCCATGATCTCTATGGCATGTAGATTTTCTTTGCTCTCTCTGTCTCCTTTCCCCTTTACCCCACTTGGCCAGGCTCTCCCTGGAGTCCTCCATCCACAGATCTAGAAGCAGGCACAGTGCTGGCACTACAAGTCAGGGGAGTCAGCAAGTCAGAATGAGGGGACCCTCCTGGGATGTACTGAGCGTGGCGGATGTGGAAGAGTCCTACACACTCACGAATCCAAGATTGAACAGGTGCACCCTTCTGGCTCCATATCTGAAGTCTAATACTATTTTTTTTTATTGAAGTATAGTCGATTTGTAATGTGTTAATTTCTGGTATACAGCATAGTGATTCAATTATACGTGTGTGTGTGTGTGTGTGTGTGTGAGTATATATATATATATATATATGTATATATAATGAATGTATGTATATATAATGAAAAGTATATATATATATATATATATATAGCCCATTACAAGGTATTAAATATAGTTCCTTGTACTATACAGTATGATCTTGTTATTTAGCTATTTTATATATAGCAGGTTGTATCTACAAATCTCTAACTCCCAATTTATCCCTCCCCATCCCCTTTCCCCCCCTGGTAACTATAAGTCTTCTATATCGTCAATCTGTTTCTGTTTTATAAATAAATTCATTTGCATCATTTAAAAAATATTCCACATATAAGTGATATCATATGGTATTTTTCTTTGTCTGACTTACTTAGTATGATAATCCCTAGGTCCATCCATGTTGCTGCAAAAGGCATTATTGAATCTTTTTTGTGGCTGGGTAGTATTTCACTGTAATGGCATACCAATACTATTCTGTCATGTCAGCTGGTCCTCCTAAGGCATCAGTCTGATGTATGAGAGACTTAGGGCTTTCCTGGGGTAAAGGTTTTGGGTAAGCCTAGGGCATGACCTTGGTACTTCTCAGGCTCACTGCCACTTCATTCACAGCACTATCCTTAAACTTAATGAATTCCCTTCATTTCTTATCTCTTCTATGTACACTTGAAAGAAGTGTAAGTGGATCACAATAGCTCAGAGCTGTCTTTCAGTATTCACTGTCCTGTAACCTGTAAAATTTGCCCGGAAACCTGAACACTGTTTGTGAAAGCAGTTTTGCAAAATGTGACTTTATTACTCAGGCTTATTAAAAACTTCAAAAGTATAAAGAATTGTTCTGAGAATGTTCACATTAACTCCAGTCCAGTAAGTCTACCACTACTTAGCAGCCTTAGATTCTTCTGAGTCCTCCGCTGGCTACGAACATGTCTTCAGTAGCTAGCAGAGTGCAGACCTGTTTGCTATGGTATAGAAACTAATGACTGCTTCTGGGAAGTGAAAGGAGACACCTGAAGCATTGCCAGGACTCTCTCTGCTACACTGAGATATTAAATTCAGAGATGCTGTTTGGCACTCTAAGGTGTCGGGGACTTAGGAAACTGGCAAACGTTACTTTGGAAAGTTTGCACAGCAATGTTAAGAAGCGAAATAGCACAAAATCTCTCCAAGTCATCTCATACAGTGTTTTGGGTTTTTGGTTTATTTTTTACTGGAATTAAAAATCTCTCAATTGTCCATGGGTTTTCATACCTGTAAAATCACACTGAAATTCACTAGCTTATTATCTCCCAACAATCCCAAGTGGTCAGGAAAGCAGGCTTTACCCCCATATGACAGATGAGGAAACTGAAGCTGAGAGCATTCAACGAGTTGTTCACAGCTGTCAGCGAGAGAGGTAAGGCTTACAAGCAAACCTGCCCCTGCCCCCGCCCCCAGTTCCAAGTTCACTGATCTTCCCAACAAGTAAAAGTCACACAGACCCGGAGGACCAGGCTGTTTAAACAGTTAGATAACCAGACCTGGGATCAAAACCAAGTTCTATCGCTGACTAGACTTTTGCCGTCAGATAGAACTTTTAAACCTCACTAAATCCCCAGTTGCTCCTTTGTAAGGTAGACTTAAAATCATGAAAGACGTGTAAAGTACACGACGTGGAGAGGGCACACACCGAACGACAGCTCCCTTCTTCCCTTTCTCCTGCCGTATCCCTCAGATCTAAGCAGACCACCCATTCTCTGGTAAACATTGGGATGGTTACTGAAAACCAAAGTAGTTATAAAAAAGTAACTCAAGGGATGTGGCGATACTGCTAACACAACAAGTTCACTGTCACAGGCAGGGAAGACCAAAGCAGAAATTGTTGTCACGTTGTACTATTACAGAACAGCCAAGAGAGTGGTTCTTTTCAAAAAATCCAGGATGAGGGTGGAGGGTATAGCTCAGCGGTAGAGCGCATCCTTAGCAGGCCCAGCCTCCTGGGTTCAATCCCCAATGCCTCCATTAAAAAAAATAAAATACATTTTTAAAAAAGAAAAGAAAAACAGTCCAGGATGAGTCTTTTTAAAGGGGACAGGTCACATCAAAACATCACACCTTGAACTTATTCTTTGCCATCTAATAAATATGGCCCATTGCTGCCATAAATTATGTAAAACACATCAAAGAGATACGAAATGTGTCCGGCTGTGACAATGGTTTGGGACTTCTGAATGTGGACACCCAGCAGCCATCATGTCCCACAACGGCCAGGAGTGTGCATCTCGGGGCCATCCGGCTTCTCAGTGCCACAGGAGAACTTAAACTCTGACTCCTCTGACCCCCTGTCTGGGGCTCACTGGGTCAGGGGCAGGGTGCTCGTGGGCCAGCACCAGCTGGGGATGGGCCCGAGTAGGAGGTGGGGCAAGAGAGAAGCATAAACTCACAGTAAGAACAGCTGCTGTTGTCAGGGGTCTGCTACCACAAAAAGGAAGTAATGATCAATCTGATGCTGAAAAGGTTAAAATGCACTGCATAATTTAGTCTACTTCTTCAAATATCAACTTAACGCTGGAGAATTATGTGCCAGTACCTCTCATCTGCATGACTCCGGCTCTTGGCACAGTCCTGCAGAAGCGGGGCTGTGTTAGTGCATACAAGGGTGGGGATTCAATGCGTTATGATCAGGCGAAAGGTCCTAGTTCTCATCTGCATCACTTCACTTTCTATTAGCAGTTAGACGTGTACGTGGGTAGACAATCGTCTCCTTCCATTAAATGCAAACTGGCGGAAATGACTGTTTAAGTTGCCAGGTTGTAAGGAAAAGAGATCAAATTAATGAGGGTGAAGCAGTATCACCAGTTTATAAAACAAATCATGCCGCGGTCAAGGCTGACGTCACCACCTCCCACACATCTAAGCACACTTGAAAATGTGAACCTCTCTTTTTCCCACCACCCCTGCTCCAATTCAAGCTGTTTCTTATTTCCTTTCTATTCACATGTAGTTGACGAGTCATTTATCTTGGCAAACACCAATGTCACCCGTCTCAGGATCCCCTGCGGGCTTCCCACTGCTTGAGGGCCAGAGGCCTGACTCCCCAGAAAGGCGTTCGTGGCTCTCTTAAATTCACCCGTCCTTCTAATTCAGTGGTTCTCAACCACGAGAGGAGCTTTAAAATACAAACAGGCTTCCGTCTCATGCCCCAGAAATTCTATTTATTAGTTCTGGGGTAAGGTCCAGGGACTTGCATTTTTAAAAATATCTGTGATGATTCCCCTCACGGCCAGGGTCGAACCACGGGCAACATTTTCTCTCCTAACTCTTTACTTAAATCTTCACCATTGCTCTAAGACCAACTGAAACCTCACCACTGTCTTTATGACCGTGGTGAATCAGTGGTACTGCCATTCTGATAATCCTAAGGACATTTGTTACTTTTGTGAAGTATTTTACGGCATTTAATATCATGTTGTTTGCACTGGGAACGTTCCCTTCATACTTCACTCCCCACATTCAGGCTCCTGGAGGAAAAGCAAACTTTTCCTATTATCTTTGGTTCCAGTTTCCAGCCCCCAACATCTATGGCTGTGTTAAACACAAAGTTGATGCTCACTCGTGTGCTCCAAGCTTACGATGACTGAACAAATTAAATTCTCTTAACTTTATGGAGTGTTTTTCTTACAGCCTGACAACATAAACCGTCAGCCTCCAGGGCTGCTCAGACACACGGCTGTGCGTTTCGTGGGAAGCATCACTATGCCCATGTAGAAATGGTAATCACTTGTCCACACAAACTGATGAGATGTCAAATAAAGGGCTGATGCCTATAAATGTGTTTTTCCTATAGACGGAAGTCTTTTCCATATTTATGTATTCAACTTCCATAAGTTTGTAAAGTAACTAAAAGGGGGAAGTAATGAAATAGATCCTAATCTGCTGATACCTGACTTCAAAATGACCCACCCGTGTAATAGGACAGCTGAAGCCCCATTTATCATCCTACTCTACTGTGGGGAGGATGGAAGAGCAAGTGTTCCCTTGCCCTCAATTTAGAAGGCACGAGGGTACCAGTGATCTACAGGGAAATGCCTCTTATGCAACTACTAAAAACCAAAAAGCTGCTAGTGTGAGAATATCCAAAATGTGCAGCCACTGCCAGAGCCCCAGCCCAGACCCTCCTCCTGCTCAAGGTGCCCAGAGAGTCACTGCTCTGCTTCTGGAGCACGGGAGACGTGCTCCCACGTAAGGAGCCAGAAGTTCTCTATGAAACAGCGTTCCACGTCGGGGCTGCCTGTGGTTAAAGCAGCACTGGTATTTATGAGTTAAACAGCCTTGGGAGGGCTGGCTGAGAAACCCAGCCACTATTTATAATACTGTTTTTGTGGAAAAATGCTTTCTGCATTCCAAACAGCAGAATTAGACATGAAATCTTGGAATACAGTTTACTTCTGAGGTTGGGAACTATCTTGTTAATTATACTATGGTCAGTATCTTCCTGGGATAAGACGGCAGCGTGGCGGTCGGCCAGGCGCGCGTAACAACAATGAACGGTTGCCATGAGTACGGACCATATGTGTCTGTAAGGATGAAAGCTGGAGGGGATGACGGGAGAAAAATCCAGGCACATTCTTAATTTGTTAAACAAATATTTACTGAGCACTGTTAAAGGCTCTGTGGAACACTGTGTGAGACAAAAATAAGTTAGACGAGAGGTTTAATGTTCTAGTCCTTACAACCCAGGGTGGGAGACAGGACAGGCATAAATACTAAAGCTGTGCGGTAAAATGTGCTGAAATAGCGATGAAGACAAAATACGGGATGAGGTCAGCAGAGAGAGGGAGAGTTCGTGCTTCCAGCTGGAGTGATCAGGGAAGGCTTCACAGAGGAGTCTGGACCTGAGCTGAGCCCTGAGGGTTTGCACAAGACTTCAACAGGCAGAGAAACCAGTAAGGGAGGAAAAGAGAACAGCACAGAGAAACACCAAGAAAATAAGCGCAAGTCAAGATGCAGAGGCATGAACAACACTGAGAATTCAGAACAGGGCAGAGGAGTCCAGCTGGTGCTAAAGTTAAAGTGGGAGATATTTTTAGGAGCTTGGCAGAGGGCTCTGAATGCCAGACAAAGGTGTGGATTCTATCCGGCAGTGAGTATGGAGCCACTAAAGGGTTTTCAAATTTCTGGAGTGGTTCTATATGCAGATCTGTCTGGCAACGAAGGACAGGACGGAAGAACAGAGAATGAAAACAGAAGACCATTAGGAGGTAATTATAATAGTTGCGGTTGGTTAAGATGCTCTCTCCAAGCTAGGTTTTTGAATTAATAGTTAAATGTTAAAGGTTCAAGTGATGGCTGGTTACTAAATATCTCCCTTTAATGACCAAGAACATGTGATTCATTTAGAAAAGCTGTATAAAGACTTAAAAACACTGAAAAACAAAATACTTGCTACAGTGGAAAACCATTTTAGAAACATTAGGTTTGGCACATAGTTGGGACTTGATACCCAGACTTGATACAAAATAAAGGATGATTTTGAGGTGCTAGTCTCATTTAAAAAATAATATCATGAATTTAAACACATTTTAATAAGCACATGAAATTTAATAAGTAATTATCTTTCCACTATTTTCCAAGACTAGTGATTTGATACACATGGTGACTGACTGTGAGATATTCTGAGAAATCTGAGTGTTGACACAGCATCAAAGGTCGTGGACTTAATTCTTTACAATTTATTTTTATTTATTTATTTTTAAAAAGTCCCTACCAAGTATGGATCTTTTTGGGGGGAGGGGGGAGAAGTAATTAGGTTTACTTATTTATTCATTTTTAATGGAGGTACCAGGGATGGAACCCAGGTCCTCAATCATGCTAAGCACGTGCTCTACCACTGACCTATACACCCCCCTGACAGTTCTTTACATATGAAATCAGTCGTAAGCTGGTGCTTTGACAGATGTGAGTAGACTTACGTGAAGTGACTTGACTGAGTAAATGTCTTCTGAACTTCAAATTTTCAGTGTTGGTTGAGACATGGCATTCATCTTATCTGAAAACAAGTGGAATGGAAGTAATGAAACTGAAAGAACTGTAAGCAGCTTACAGAAGCTAATTAGATGATTACACCTTACAGACCATAAAAGAGTTATATTTAGTTCTATAAAACTGACATTAGTTATGTATAATTTAAGAACCTAAGATAAAAATCTCAAGGGATGCTCGACTTCTAAAACTGGAGATCTAATACATTCCCTTCATATATTTTTATGTCAATCTCCTAAAAGTTCTAGAAAATATATTAGACCTTTAAGCCTGATTAACACTGAATTATTTAAAATTTCACCAACAATTGAGCCTATTCAGTACCATGTCACAGAGAGCAAGGAGAGATGAAGTTGAGTAAAGAGAGTTCGTGCCCTCAGGAAACCCACCAGCCGCCAGAGGAGACACACACACACACACGTACAGACCCACATCAAGACCGACACAACCAGAGCTGCAAGTGGGAAGGAGCGCTGTGGGGCCTGGGGGTGGGGCCACTCCTACAGGGGCAAAGTGTGAAGACTCTGTGCTATGGCCTGAACTGCGTCTTCCAACACCCCCAAATTCAGGTGTTAAAGCCCTCGTCCCCTAGCACTCAGGCTGTATTTGGAGATAAGGCTCTGTAAGAGGTGAGGAAGTTAAAATGAGGCCTTCAGGGCAGACCCTAATCCAATCTGACTGGTGTCCCTATAGGAAGAGGAAGTCAGGTCACAGGGCGACATACCAGGGATGTGTGTGCATGGGGGAAAGACCACTGGGAGACACAGCAAGAAGATGGACACCTGCAAGCTAAGGAGAGAAGCCTCAGAAGAAATCAAACCTGCAGATACCCTGCTCTTGGATGCCTGGTTTCCAAGACTGAGACAACAGGCTTCTGTTGTTTAAGTCACCCGGTCTGTAGTATTTCCCTCTGAAGTCCTAGCAAAGTAACAGCCTGCAAATATGCTTTTAAAAGAGATAGGACTTTTTAACAATCAGATAAAGGTATGGTTTGGAAGCAAATAACATTCCAAGAAGAAACAAAAATTACTTTTATTTTAGGCATAGGGGCCACAATGTAGAGGGTGAGCTCAGAGTCAGTACACTTCCATAACAGAGGGAGAGCACAGGCTGGGGGAAGAAAAGAGATGAGCAGGGTGGGGAGGGTGGGAGGAGGGGAGGCAGGGAGGCTGAGGGAGGACAGATCAACAGATAGACCAGGACTGGAATGCAGGGCTGAGGTCACACTAAGAGGGCAGTATATAGAGTTTTATTTTCCACACACAAAGAGCCATCAAGGGTTTTTAGTAGAAAACTCATTCGAATTTGTGTTCTAGAAAGATGGCTCTGGCTTTGGAGTTACTATGGGAAGAATTCAAAAGGCAGTGAGACCTGTTTTGTTACTGCAGCAGTCAAGGTAAGAAGAAACCAGGGCAATCGCAATGGAATTAAAAAGTCAAAAACACACTGAAGATGTGCTTGAAAATGAGAACCAGAATAACCACCCAATCAGTTATGCGAGACTGAACACAGGCACAATCACCACCATTCAGTGACACAGTCACAAACGCAGAGTCCTGGGCCTCCACGCGTTGTCTCCATCGACCACTACTTGAAGAAATCAACCAGTCCGAAGCCTCACCCCACTTCTGACATCTTACCCTAGGACTTGAAAGCCCAACCCATACTCAGTAAAAACTCATTTCCTAAAGGAGGCACCACTCCAGAATCATCTGTGTGGTCTCGTGACAGCAAGTCACTAGAACAGTATGCTTGTCTTCTAAAAGGTTTATTTATCTGAGGAGGGAGCTTTCCACAAAAAACGGATGCCCACCAATGAGGTCAAGGAAAAAGAGACAGAGGAGTGAGCACCCTGTCCTGCCTTTTCAGGGCAGAAGGACGACTAAGACTAGCTTAACAGTCACTGGTGGCCTAAGAAAGAAATTACAGGATGGCAATAGAAGAGAAGAAAAACTTCTAGTAATGGAGAGATTAAATAAAGAGGAGAAATGGAATTAACTAGTAAATTTTATTCTTCTAAGAGGCATGATTTGAAAGAGAAGCTGAATCTTCAACAAGATTTGTTGTTGTTGTTATGTTTATTTTTTTCGTGTTTAATGCCAGTAAAAGGGATACACAGGAAGGAAGAGAGATCAATGATGGGGCAAAATCAAAAGAAGATGGGAACAAGAATCCTAGCAGAGTGAACCATGTGGGGAGAAACTTCATGGTTAGAAATGGAAGAGACGGTGGGTGATGTATACAAATAAAAATTATTTTGTGTAAGGGTATAAAGTTGGGGAGTTAAGGTCAATGGCAGGGCCACCTATTGTGACAGAGAGGGGAACAGGGAAGGAAGGAGAGGTGGAAAGACAGTGTATGAATAAAAAACTCTGAATTTAAGAGTGTGAGAGAAAAAAACTTGCCAGAGAAGAGGAGAAAGGAAAGAAAACAGAGGGGCTTTCAGTATTTGAGATCTTCAAATGACTCTGAACAAGTTAAAGAATGACGAGTTCTGAGTATAAGAAACCCAAAAACACGAATTAGGAGAAACAGGTAACAGTCACGTGGTGTGGGGACACCCGCGGTGGAGAGGACAGTTTCAAGACTGACGCTGACACAACTGAGGAAGAACCCTTGGAGAAGCAGACATAGCTCAGATTGGAATAAAAATGTCAACTTCATTTGTGGGGAAATTGGGTAAAAGATCTGACTCTAGGCGTCCTAACCATTTAAACTGGGTTGACCCAAATTGCCCTTTTGAGTTTACTATGTGGATGAGAGGAGAATGTGTGTGGGTTTGGACAAAAGGGGGTGGGGGTGAGAAACCAGTGACATATGTGGCCAGTCGTTTGCCCTCTGCCACCAAACAGATACAGCAGAGAGAGAGAGAGAATGAATGAATGAATGAATGGTGTTATGTCACTTATCAACCCGGGTGAAATCCTACTCTCATTACACTCTTCTTTCCAAGAAGTCACATCTACCCTGTTCGGATGGAACAGTCAGTAGAAGGGAAAACGTGATATAATTAATTGGTCCCCTCAAACTCAAAAAAAAAAAAGGGATGAAAAGTAAATAAATGGAAATCAATCTGAAAGAAATTATATGGAAGGGGAGATAAACATGGATCTAGTCACATACAGTGAAGTTTTCGATCAAAGACCTAATACTGAGCCTAATTCAGCTGAAGAATACTGTTCGAGATGAGAAGATTTCTAATTATGGGTTCAATGCCGTTAAAAGATAAAGGACTATTCACAATTTTTACATTCTTGTGTGTCATTTTGGTAAAGAATTTGTCCATTTTGTACAAACTGTCAAATGGATTGATATAAAGTTGTTCAGTCTTTTCTTATCCTTTAATATCTCTTAGATTTTAGTAATGTTTCCTTTTTATACCATATTGTTGATATGAGCCTCTTTTGTTTTCTTAGTAGGATTTTACCAATTTTATTAATATTTTCAGAGAAACAACTTTGACTTTACTAATTTTCTCTATTTTATGTCTTCTTTCTTAATGATTTTGCTCCTTCCAGTTTATTTGAATTTAATTTGCACTTCTTTATCTAGCTTTCTGAGATGGAAGGTTAGATAACTGGCTTTAACCTTACCTTTTAAACACATGCATGTAAAGCTATACAATTCTCTCTAGGCACTACTTTGTGTCTCACAAGTTTGGATACTGATTCACTTCAATATATTTTCTGATTGTGGTTGAGAGTACTTCTTTGACCCACAGATTATTTAAAAGCATGCTGCTTATTTCCCACACATATTGAGGATTTTTCAAATCTTTCTGTTATATATTTCTAGGTTAATTCCACTATGGAACATACAGTGTATGATATAAACCTTTAAAATTTGTTGAGATTTGCTTTCTGGCTTAGCACATGTTCTATTTTGGTAAAAGTTCCATGCACGCTTGAAAAGAATGTGCATTCTACAGTTGTTGGGGAAAATGTTTTATAAATAGCAATAGGTCAAGTTGGTTAATAGCACTGTTTAAATATTCTATCACCTTAATGATTGTTGAAAATCTGCTTGTTATATATTAGTGGTTTAAAGAAGGCTGTTAAGTTCTCCAACTGTGATTTGTCTATTTTTCCTTTTCGTCCTGTCAATTTTAGCTTTACGTATTTTAAAGTTATGTTGTTAGGGACATATAAATTTAGAACTGTTCTGTCTTCCTATTGAATTGACCCTATTTATCATTATAAAATGTCCCCTTTATCTCTCATAATTCTTCTTGCCTTAAAGTCTACTTTGTCTGATATTAATATATAAGATCTCTTTTAATTAGTATTTGTATAATGGTACCTTTCCTTTTCTTTCCATATCCTTCTATATGTGTCTTATGCAAACTATATATAGCTGTGTTTTTTTAAAAAAAAATCTAGTCTCAAAATTCTGGTTTTTAATTGGAGGAAAAAAGCCTACTTACATGTAATTTAATTACTGATATTTAAGGATACCTTTCTGTTATAAATTTTCTATTCATTCCATCTGCTCTTTTTCCTTCATTTATTCCTTTTTTGATTAATCAGTATTTTATTATTGCATTTTCTCTCTTGTGAACTTTTTGTTTAAACAAGTTTGTAACATTTTTAGCAATTATCTTAGAGCTTCTAAATACATCCTTGATTACAGCTGAGTTTTTGCCACTTCCTGAGCAAGACAAAAATATCAGTTTAACTCCATTTACACCTATAGGCCCTTTGTTCCACTGTTTTCAAATATTCTATTTCTATACACATTTAAAGCCTCACAAAAATCAATATTATTGCCTTTAATAGTCTGAAATCTTTTACACTTACTCACATATTTATGCTTACCTATGTTCTTCATTTTTTCCTGAGGTTCTGTGGTTCATTTGGGATCATTTTTCTTCAGACTGAATAACTTTTTTAGTATTATTGTACTATGGGTCTACTTGTGATAAAGTCTCCCACCTTTTGTCTAAAAGCATCTTTATTTTTGCCTTCATTAAAAAAATATTTTTGCTGGGTATAGGGTTTCAACTTGGCA